AGGTGTGTATATATATATATTACTACCTACTACCTACTACCTACACCGGTTTCCGGGGTTTAATATAGGCATATGGACTGCGTCCCATGGTGTGTCTGCGTTTTGACCTTCTCCCCACACTCTTCAGAGCTGACTTCGGAGCGGAGCCGCCTTTCCCTCTTTGCACCCAAAACGGCGGTCAAGACGGAGCCGTGTCGTACGGTGTCCAACGCGGAGTCGACGTGTCCAAAGGCCGATCTCGGTGATGAGTCGGATGTCGTTGGTGTTTTCATGGACCTCATTTGAAGTCTAAAGAAACTTAATGGACCTCATTAGCTTCTTGTTACTACTAGTAAGGCACTTGTTCCGTTCGTAGCTTTTCATGGACCTCTTTGGACCGAATGGACTCGCCCCGGTCTCACCACGGACTCTGTGCCTTTCCGGTCGTGGGACCGTGGGACCGGGGGGGGGGTTCGGCCAAACCGGTGACCTCGAAGGGTCTGAACGGGATGGAGCTCGCTCGCTCGCTCGCTCGTGACGGACGTCCGTGACGGATGTCCGTGACTGAGGAACATGCAATTGAATATGTGGCAAACACATAACCAGATAAGACATAGTCAGGTAGACAAGTGGCAGATCTGACTAGGCAGTGTTTCACACCCCACGGCGTTGCGATCGGACAAGTGCGACGATTGTTGAGAACCCAGCCAGGGATGCCACAGTGTTTGATCCAAACTTAACAAGCAACTGCCCGTTCGTTTGCACCAAGAGGCAGGGCTCAGAGTCGGTTTAGATGGGAAGGTTGAAATGAATGAGTCACGGCACGTGAGACAGCCAGGGTTGTCATACTCCCATCTTCTGGTTTGCTTGCTGATGCTTTGATTCAGTCCCTCGAGATCAAGTTTTGAAGTTCTTTTCCAGACCATCCTCATGATGCATATCATATCGACATGTGATTGATACTTTATTGAGTGAACCTGTTCTGCCACTGGGCTACATAGACCGCTGCAGGGGAGCAACGAGCTGCAAGTTATATAGATCCCTGGATCAAAGCTGCCCAAAGTATCCAGCTGTGAGGTTTCGGTATATCGATATGTATATATATATATTTATATTTATACATTGCCAGTAAGAGTGGATGATGATGGTTAGTAAAGGCCTTTGTAGACGTGCAGCCTTTGAATCTTCCCTGAAAACCCCTGCGCATGGATCTCAAATTGGGCTCTGTCTGGCAGCTGCTAAAGGACTTGGGAAGATTGATCTCCTGGATGCCTAAAGACCAGCCAATGTCAGTGATTCACCTGGAGATCAGCGCTGAAAGGGAACATATCAAGAGCCCAGTTGACAACTGCTGAAAAAATGCCAGTGAAGGTAGGTCAAGTACTCACATGAGCCATCCAAGAAGCCATGACAAAAACCGAGCATGACGAAAACCCTAGGGCCCTAGGGCTTTGGCAAAGTGGAGTGCTCCTCACTGGAAAATCCCCTTCACTGGCTTCAGTTGACCTCCCTCACTGTCAAGGCACAGTTGGTCATCGGGATGTCCCCGGAGCCAAAGTCCGTCAGCCCGCTGGTGAAGGCCTGGGCAGCGGTGGCACGCAGCGTGCAGGCGTGTGACTCCGAGTCAAGTCGGCACGGTTCTCATCGAAGATCCCAAACCCCAATGAGAAACAGGTCAATGTTGTTTGGTGAACCTTCATAGCCGTAGCATGCCGTAGCTGATCTACTCCCGGATGGTGGTAGGTTCGATCAACAAACTTGAACAAACACTCCCCTAGCGGCCCTTCAGATCGTCTCCTCTATGGTCAAATCATGGAGACGAGGCTCGAGCCGAGCCTCGTCTCCGCTGTGGAGGCTGGGGGCCCAATTGCGGACTAGGATTCCGGCCGCTCGGCGCGGGATCCAAAGAAGCAATGGGACAATGGGACCTTGAACTACCATCCATTAACTTCTCTGTATGGGAGACCAATACAATATTAACGAGAATGAAGAACGTGGTCGAACAAGAGAATGAATGTTCCGTGATTCATTCAAAGTGAAATTTGCTCTAAGGGAATCTCCAGGAAATGTCTAGACTAAATGAGTCAGTGCTCCACCTGAGACCTGGTAGAAAAAACGTTGAAAAATAGAACTGCTTGGTTGGTCGGAGGAACGCCAGTGAGTTTGGATGGTTTATCTGGGTCAAAAACCAGATAAACCATCCAATCATTCCAACTCCGAGGGTGGAGGAAGATCGACTACATATACAACCTGTCGAAGCCTGGGCATATGTCTTGAGTCATACGCCACTGATACCTACGAGTAATGACTTAAGTACTTCCTGATCCAAGTTCATTCTCCAAGTTGCGCTGGTGCTGCTTGTCTGGGTAAACTCCCTCTGCCCAGTGCTGCTGCCGACGGCACGGTAAGTGAGTCGGACGTCCTTCCGGGTTCGGGCCTGGCGCAGGCTGGCGCCACTAGCATTCATGCAGAATCCTGATGAATAAAATGAATCAAACCCCCCATCTGAAGAAGTGGTCCAAGAATCTTGATCAACTCCCCGGTTTGGCAGTTTTACATGGTTTTACATGGATTTACATGGTTTTACCGTTCCCTGTGGGGGGGGGGGTGAGATAAACATCAAGGTCCTCCGGTCGTTGACCCTTCGACCCGTCCGGGTATGGGAAAAAACGACCACGGACCGATGCACCGGTGGGACCGTACCTTGGTACGGTGGGACCGGTCTGTGCTTACGGACTGTAGGAGATACGTGGCGCACCATGAGTCCCAAGAAGTGTAAAGGGAGAGTAACATGTTCAGATCAAACATGATCAAAGTGTATACCGTCGGTTTTTTCTAAAGCCATGCAAGAAGGAGAGACAGAGAGGATGTTGTCTTAGTTGTCTTGGTCATAGTTCTTCTGGACTTGATTGTTCCCAAGCCCTGTCCTTACATGCATCACAACAATGACACAAAGACTTCAAGTTAAAGTCCAATCAACAACTGTTCAAGGATTCTTTACCTAGGCATGTTCATGTGAAAGAACTGTTTGTTTCATAGCTTAAGGTGGGTGGTTGGATCTGGGTTCTCTGGTTCTTTGGAGTCTGCAAAAGTGGCTGCTCCGAAGCCGCCTCCCGTTTGGGCTCACAGGCCTCGATCGTCTGCATGATCTTCCAGAAGAACTTGGAGGGGTTCGTTGTCCCACTGCCATCCACCTGAGTGAGAGCCACCGCCGGTGCAAAGGCGCAGCACAGGACCGCGGTCAGAAGGCGCGTCATGGGTCGAGCTGCCCAAACACAAAAAGCTTACTTTGCAGCTGTTCAGGCGAAGTCTAAGCCGAAATGCTTCAGTTCGACAGGCGACTCTGTATCACTGAGGCTCCTTGTTGCTCGCGTTGGTCGATTTCAAAAACTGACAAGAAAGATCAAAAAAGGTATCCATAAAGGGACCAAGTCGAACCAAGGTCATGGTCAAACCAAAGCATCAGCCATACTTCATAGACAGATGCCTAATGTTTTCTCAGAGACTTTTGCCTTGTGATTTCCTCTTTGTATAATGGAACAATCTGGGGGTCAAAATGCCCTTGTCTTTGCAGGAACTTCCTCTGAAACAGTTCACCTTCTGAACGTGAGGAAACACCTCCGTCCCCCATCTCCGCATCGCAATCTTTGCAGCTCAGAGTACGCCAGTACGCCCGGTCATTCGACACAACCCCCCCCCCAACCCCCCACACCCCCCCGAGCTCCCGCCCGATCTGCGTTCCGCAGAGTCGGACGAAGCGAAGTCGGAGAGGCGGAGAGCGGAGAGGTCGCCGCCGTCTTCGTCCGGGAAGCGCCGTCGGAACATTCGCTTCGCTGCTGAAGAATTGCCGACATTCGTCGGGTCTCCCCAGCAGGGCCGACAGCGTCAAGTCATGGAACCAGGCAAAGCAAACTGAAATGCCAGAGCTGAGCTTCTGGAAAATGTCTGGGTGATTAAGGTTTATGATCTGCGATTTCCCTGTCATTTGTGCTCCCTGTGTCCTTGATCCATTGCAAAAAAGATTGTTGCGCAGTTGTGCAGCCAAATTGCATGTGAAGAATCAGCTTACCCACGGACCAACCTGCCTCCAATCCAATTCAAGAATGCACTAAATATGGGTTATATATAATACATCACATATCTACACATATCACATAATGATGTAAATGCTCCACAAACCAAGCGTTCGACACGGAGTGATTGTTGTTGTTCGTAGATTCCAGGCTTTGCGGAGGCTTCCCCTTGGAGGTGTCTGTTTCCGGGTAGGTTGTTGGCACCAACAGCCATGTCTCCTGTAGAATCCTCAAGACATCTTTGTGGCACCCCCCAGTCCCATGATCTTCGGCCGATCTGGGCTCCGCGTTGCGGATTCGATCGGATTAAAAGCCTCCGCACAGGGGCAGGCTGGGCAGATTCGGCGCTAAGGAGAAATGCTCTCCGCATAAAGGGGATGTTCGGGTCGAGACGGCCATTGTCGGGATCCCTAAAGCGGGGGTCCAAGGGGGGCGTGAGCTCAAGTAGCTAAAGCAAGAACTCCAAACACCGGAGGATGTTTTGGTGCTTCTAGAATGAAGATAATGAAGATTGAGTGACAAAGACATACGTCAGACCATGTGAAGTTCTTTCTACCCCCTTCGTGAACCTCCATGCGGATCCATCCTACACCTCGACCTGACCCCTTGGGAATCAAAAATGTGACCCTCTCCGCTCCAACAGTCTGAGCTGCTTGGATCATCCACTGGAAACGTGCCGTCGAAGCAAACGGGTGCGGTGGGATCCAAGAAGAGCCCTCGGACATGGTCCTTTCTCAGCTCGGAAGAGTTGGTTGTTACTTTGAACTCTCTCCTACAAAGTCATTACTTTGAACTCTCAATTCTGGGAAGATTGGTTGTTACTTTGATTCTTTTTTAATCATCTTTCAAACATCAATCACAGCAGAAGGATCCAAGTGGGATCAGAAAAAAGCAAAGCAGCAAAGCTGATTAGCCATTTCTCGGCTCAACTGCCTCTCTCAAGCAGTTTTAGATCTTGAGATCCTCGGCGGCCACCTGAGCGGAGCAACAGCGAAAACGAGCGGCGCCGAGGATCGCAAACGTATGCAACAGCTACTTCTCTCACAGCAGATCTTAGGGTCCGTTTTCGGCCCCGTTTTCGCAGCATTTGGTGCCACTTGACGCAGGGTGGACACTTTAAGCCATCAATCCTAAGTGGATGGCATGGCCACGAAGACTCAGATGACCATGAAATCCGAAGACCAAACAAATGGTGAATTCCACTTCCATGATTAGTTCAGGGTAGTGAATTCAATTCTGGACGCTGCAAAAACCGGCTGCAAAAACCGGCAGCAGGGCGGCCTTTTGAAGCTTTAAGGAAGACTGGGATTCTGAGTGGCTTGCCGCTAAGAGAATCTCGATTGAGCGCGCGAAGTTTGATGGAGCTTGGCAATCGCTTATTATCCCCGCGAGGCAGCATGGGAATGGTTTCCCAACCAAACCATGCCTGACTGATCTTACATTGAGGGTTCTGGATACGGTTCAAAACCAACCACCAACAACATGGTAGGTTGAGATCCCTGGTAGTCCATGTTGTTCATGTTCAGGGGTGAATCGTGGACTTTGTCTCACGGCATCGATTTGTTCCTCCCGTGCATTCCGCCTCCGCTGCATGTTTCTCCTCAACCTGGCCAAGCAAGCTTCGCGTCGCCGTTTAGAAGAAGCAGACCGCTTCTGTAAACCGCTCTTTCCGGGCCATGAAGAAGTTCAGCTCAGGCAAATCAACTAGTTCGCTTCACAGATCCTCTCAAATCCCACTCTTTTCACAGCTGTAAAACCACACTCCGTCCGTTGCGTCCCATCCGGTCGCTTCGCCTTGGAGCGACTGGGGTCGGTGAGGCCGATGATGGTGCCGGACGCCGTGGGCGCCAAACCGGGCTGTGCCGCACGGACGAAGTAGAAGGCCACGCAAGCCATGCCTGGGTGAGCTGAAGAGACATGGAGTTTGATCGGAAAGAAACGGGCTGAAACCAGCAGCTGAAATCGTCCTGGAAGAGGCGGAAAAGAAATCCTGCCCCCCATGGGGCAGGGTATTGAAAAGTTCTGGGTAAAGGCGGGTGGTGGTATCAAGATAGGTCGCAACAATAGCTCAAAACAGTTCGGGCACTGACTTCAAGCTCACCCACCCCCCAACCGAAAGGCAGGGCATTCGGATGGGTGGTTCAGTTGTCTGGTTATATAATTAGCCTTCGGATGAGAGTCTTAAGAAAGAGCGTGGCATCACTCGCAGCACTCCTGAAGCCTCACGAATTGGTGGTAGCACAACGCTGCACAACTCCGGCAGACCGAGACAAATCAGAAGGAGCACGAGCAGGGACCCAAAGTTAACGATGGTTGAGACCTCCGACAAAACTGTGAAGTCAGAAATACTTAAAACTTAAATAGTCGGATCCATTCTTGTACAGTTTTTGCATGGAATCTTATACGGTCAGCTTCAATTCCAACCTTCTTCCTGACTGCTCAGGACAAAAAAACACGGAAGAACCGTCTCATGCAACCGGTGCCGGTCCCTCGAATCTTCGCCACTCTCATCCGAAGGCACAGGCCCCGATGAGGGACATCCTTGGAACCCGCGATCGATGGAGCAGGCGGAAGGGATGGAGATGGAAAAGACGCGGTCGGGCCGTGGACGTGTTTGGAAAAGCTCGGCTCTGAGGTTGGAAAATTGAGCTGGTCTTTGCTTACACATCGTAACAAGTTCAAGTCACAATGGTCTTCTTCGATGGTCTTCAAGCTGGTGAAAGTGCGTTGGAGGTGGTGCTTCAGGTAGAGTTGATATAGTGCTAACAAGCTCTGAAAACACCAGTTTGAGCCATTTCAAAGTCACTGTTCTCTACGTGGGATGATCCTTCACGTGAGGGGTGAGCTTGAGGCGTAGTTCTCGTGACTCAAGAAGACTCTACCCGTCGTAGTTCTTCCACCAACCGGACAAAAGGAGACGCAGACCCTCTGGGACCCAAATTCTTGGGTCACCCAGAGATTTACTCAATTGATCACTGAAGAGTAGGGTTAAGCACTGCTTGCAAGCATTACAAATTCTTCCAGATTGGTGAGACAACGAATGCTGCTGGCCGTTGCATGTTTTATCGGTGATGATGACAACAGTCATATGAGGACAGCATGAAGGCAATGGGTTTCCCGTGGGGTTCCAAGTAGCCCAGAATTCCAGGCCATGAAATGGACAAAACAGGCTGACCCATTGTCATTGGTCATTCAGTGCGCAACTCGCGTGTGCCTTTCAAGCACAGGGGTCCACCCCTCATCTCAGGATGTTTGGCGCAAATCCCTATGGCCTATAACCTCTGGCCCTATAAAGTTGCTTGACAACAACCATGGGCATAAAAGATATTTGCTGAACAAACATAAAAGTAGAGCCGGTAGAGCAGAGCTTGCAAATAGACAGTCTTCTTATGGAAACTCTGCTGCAGCCACCCAAATACTCACCCCAGCCGAATCACAGTATATAAGTTGGTTTGCTCGGGGGTGATTATTGTGGGGCGTGAGAGATGATATTGTTAGGAGGATGGAAATGTTTACTTCCATCGATATGTCTATATATATATATATGTGTGTGTGTGTGTCAAACCCTGTTTCCAAGGGTCTAATTTAATTTAAAGCAGGGGGACAGAGCTCTCTGATGCTACTCTGTCCAACGAAGCTAGGCATCAGAGAGGGAAGCATCCACTGGCCATGGATGTGTACCTGCTTTAACGGTTGAACAAGCTGTCCAATTGACCTTGTTTGTTTTCATGGTTCTTCATGATACTCCCCCTAAACCTTCCCACCGCGTTCTTGCAACTGAGCCGCGCGTTTTCGTGAGCGTTTCGTTTTCGTGCTTTCTGCAGACTTCAAACCATTTTGTTCAAACATCTACAAGTTTTGCGGACTCTTCACCTTACCGTTCTTCACCTTCCTTCCCAACGTGGCAATTGAGTTAACTGAAAACCAATGTCAGAGTGTGAGCCGCTCAGTCTTCCCACTTGGGTGCTGGGTGTGACCCTCCGAAAGGAGGCGCTGCTATCATGCCGGAAAGCATCGATCTTTCATTCTTATAACTGACCCTTTGCTTCTTCACTTTCATAACTGAATTAACGGATTTTTGAGCCGCCGGGCCAAAAAACGGACAATCTCAACCACCGAATCCAGAGCCGCCGGGCTATAAAACGGTAATCCACCCGCAATGAGGCAGGTTTCCCAACCCCCCCCCCAGCCGAGTTCTACTCCCTACCTATTTGGGGCAACATAGGGAAATGGTACTCGACACACTTGTGTGTCGGTGCCTTTCCCTGTGTTGTTCCTGTTCTAGTCTATCCTACCCGGGCGGTCTAAGACTAAAGTCCCGCTCCCTAGCTATTGCACTTAATTCATCTCTGCTAAGTAATCAGTAACTCTAGAGTGCTAGGTATTCAGACACACACATGTACACACACATGGACATACAGCCCCTCCCTGCCCCCCCCCGCTTTCCTTCTTGCGCTTTTCGTCGTTTGTTGGGCTTTCTCTCAGGCTTTTTAGGTTGCTCTTGAGGCTCGTTTCCCTACCCCAGTCAAGGGCTAAGTATTCACTTTTTCTACACCTACCTTTCTTTCTTGCCCTCTTAGCGCTGCTCTTTCTGTCTTTCTTTTCTTTTGTTTCTAAGGCTTTTTAGGTGACTATTCAGGTCTTTCACATGCGCGCCGCGAAGCGGCACCGTGTGTGTGTCAAACCCTGTTTCCAAGGGTCTAATTTAATTTAAAGCAGGGGGACAGAGCTCTCTGATGCTACTCTGTCCAACGAAGCTAGGCATCAGAGAGGGAAGCATCCACTGGCCATGGATGTGTACCTGCTTTAACGGTTGAACAAGCTGTCCAATTGACCTTGTTTGTTTTCATGGTTCTTCATGATACTCCCCCTAAACCTTCCCACCGCGTTCTTGCAACTGAGCCGCGCGTTTTCGTGAGCGTTTCGTTTTCGTGCTTTCTGCAGACTTCAAACCATTTTGTTCAAACATCTACAAGTTTTGCGGACTCTTCACCTTACCGTTCTTCACCTTCCTTCCCAACGTGGCAATTGAGTTAACTGAAAACCAATGTCAGAGTGTGTGTATATGATATCAACCTTTGCAGCCATCTTGGAGTGCATAGAAGAGGAACCAATCCAAAGGCAGGACCTGTTTCCTCGTGGTGAAATTGGACTGTCCATTTCTATCGGCTGCCAGTCGACTGAAAGAATCTCAACTGTTTGTCAAGGCTCACCAGGGCGACGACCGACATCGCCACTGGCAAGGTGTCGTTGTACTTCTCTTTGGTCCCCTTGGTGTCGAGTCCAAGGCCAACGCCGCAGCCGGGGACTAGGTGCATGTTTTCCAATTTCTTGGCGAGAGGGACGACAAGTCTGGTGATGGCATTCTGCCAGGGTGGGAGATATTATGAGTTCATGGTCTTTCCGTTTGGATGGTCCAGTCCATGAAAATCCACCAATTGTGGCCGAGGGTGATATATATATATATATATTTGGATCAACAGGGAAGGGAGTGACACTCTATAAAATCTGGGCTTTCACATACCTGGGAGAACAAAGCTGTACCATTCTCCCAAGATGGCCCTTCCCTTTTGGGCCGTGAGCCGCAGTGGCATGCCCTGGATTGGACGTTTCTCTTCTCACTGGAATGGTTGTTCAACCCACTTAGTGTTCATCGAACCCAGATCCAAACCGAACAGAACTTCCTGGTCTTTTCGATCCTCGACCCCCTCGGCTCACGTCGGATCTGTGTACCTCATGGGCAGGCGGAGGTACCACGTGGGCGAGGTTCAACGGGGGACCCACATGACATGCCTCCCTTCGCCCGCCTCCATGCCTCCCTTCGCCGCCAGCTCAGTCCTCAACTTGCTGATGGCATCCTGCAAGCGCAAAAGGGCTGCGGGAACAGAAGATTCAGAGATTCGTTTGCTGGGACATAATGTATCAACTATCCGGGCTCCACCCAGACTCCAAAAACCAAAAGAAAAAGGTAAACATGCCTTTGCAAAGGGAGAACTACTCACCTGTGGATCAGGGCTTTAAACCTCCCCTGCTGCTGGAACACAAACCCCTTAGTCTCTCACGGGCTAGCAGGCATGGGGACTCCCTTTGGTGGCATGCCATAGAACTTGATGACCTTCTATAGAGAGTCTACTGAGCATTTTTGAGAGAATCTCTGACTCAACTACTTAGATGGCCTGCACGTGCTGCGAACGCAAATGGAAGCAAGAAAAGGAATCTCTGAGTTCCTTGCAAGTGCATTTCCTCACCGTGGTGGTCCCAGGCATCATCCCACACGTATGGTCCACGTATGCTTTACAGCCTTCCCTCGGCTTTGAGTTGCAGCTTTGTTTGGAAAGAAAGGATGCACAGGCCATCAAAATCGTTCCCAAATACATCCAGATACCAAAATAATCTCACCCGTCTCTGGGGTGATTTTATCTGACCGAAAGCATGGATTGCTTATATATAGCAGCACAGAGGCTGTTCACCATTGAAAACACTTGCAAGGCAAACAGCACTTGTAGATGCTTCTAGAAGACTTTAGAATAATTACTTTAGCGCCATCTCCCAAACCAAATGCCAAAGGACAGAGCAGCACAGCAATGCGCAGCATCCGATAAACATTGCTAATTACATGATGCAGCAAGCATTTCAAAAGTCCTACCTCCTGCAAAAGAATCGAGAATAGACTGACTGCGTCAGATGAGTTCATCCCTTCCATGAATGAGTGCTCTTTCGTCCCATCACCTGGGTGACTCTTTCTTCGCCTCGCGGAGGGAAGGACCCAGCTTCTTTACTCGGAGCGTTCGGACGCGACGGTTCGATTCGGCGCTCCTGGGCCGTACTAACGAACGCAGCATTTCGGGCATGGCGGTTCGCGAACGGAGCGTTCGAAGGGTTCAATGGGAAGAGCCGGTCTCGCTCCCGGGCGGAATCCTGCATGACGCTGGTATCGTAGAGGTCGTAGGAGTGGCGCTTCATGCTGATCCTGCCGAGCGGTCGGGCGTGCCACTTACCCGCCATGCGAGGTGGGACTGCCATGTGGTCACATGGGACGTGTGTCCTTCATGTCCCACAGTGGCCCAGAACATGGGACGTGGGCCTGAAGGACTGAAGAACATTAGGGGGAGATTCTTCATTCATGCAGGCTTCCGGTGCTTCGGTGCTTCGATGTTTGCCAAGTGGGTAACATCCAAATCTAAGGTCCTGCTGGAGAGGATGGCCCACCACATTTTCCCTGTAAGTACCCCATCTCAAGTCCATACCATACCCTTCTTTGAGTAGACGGAAACATTTCCATCAAGACCACATGTTGAGGCTCTGCTGGCCAGTTTTCCATGATTTGTCCCTTGCGGCGGACATGTATATACACCTCCAGTTTCGGAACAGAATGCGAAGAACCTTAGTATCTTCACCGACAAAATTTGGGAGTCTTGGCCAGCATGGCACATGTGCAAGGCATGCAGGCATCAAGCACATGGTCAGATCGTCCCAACTTCCGCGGCTGGAGCGTTTCAACCCACCCTGTCCGCTGATAGATGTCCCCTGAACCATGGACAACCTCTGGGTTGGACCGGAAAATGTTGGGCAAAGTCCAGGGAGGCTGCCTGCGGGTGCTACCGGATCTGCTCCAAGACCGCACGCCATGTGTGTCGCGCGTCTCATGTCTCTCGAGCCGAGCCACACGTTGGTGGCCATGCCGAGGTAGGGCTGGGTGGAGGTCTCCTCCTCGGACGGATATTTTTGGGAAGTGGACTTCGGCTTGGTGGATTTTGAGGAGCTGGTTGGACCATTGTCGGAGCTGGTTGCCTTTGCAAAAGGAGCTTCGTACTCTTAGAGGCGGCTTCTTCTTTCTTCCCATGGGTTTCACACTAGTTGTTTCCGGGCCTTTGGCTCAATGAAATGAAATCCGGCTTTAAGTCGACCAAAACCATCCGTTGACACAACAAGTATCTGGATCTCCTTTGGATGCAATCACCGATCCAGGCTTGGTGATCTGTGTCAAAACCCAGCGGCCTGATCTTCCAATGAGTCCAACTTCATAACTAACCAAAAGGTTATTAGTTAGTAAGATACTAGTAACAAAGGGCATCGCTTCGACGAGCGATCGGACGCTACGATCGGGGCTCCTGGCCATAGTACGGGGAGCAAGAAGCTACTAGTAAGAAGAAAAGGGTTACAACTTCATCAACTGGGTCGGACTCGCCCACCTCAAGTGACTCAGGGACATCCCAGGGTGTTCAGATGTGGCAAACGACCCAGGGACATCCCCCCCAACCGTGGTCATATACTGAAGGTGGTCATTGGCGCCAACAGCACCCTGGAGCCGTGTAAGATCGTAGAACCCCACCACAGCTTCGGACAGTGACAGTGACCTGGTCGTGGGTTGCGCCGACATGAAGGAATTCTACCATAGAATAGACGAAGAAGAAGAAGAAGAAGAAGATTTGTAAACAAACAAATCAGGCAAAGCTTCTCTTCAGAAACAAGCTAAACCCAAAAGTCTGGATCGCCGATCATGCCCAAAACAGGCCAGATCGCCGTTGCTCGCGTGCGTCCCAAAGCCCACTCTCCCGAGCCGTGATCGCTCCGTAAAGCTCTGCATGCCCGCCGGGTACATGATGGAGCCGGCAGCGCTCAAGCTCACAGCCTTCAAGCTGTTGCTGGGCGGGGTGAAGCCGAACCTGCACCGTTGTGGCGTTTGTGCGAGAGGATGGGTGATGTTTTGGTAAATGGAGTGATGTGTGAAGGCTTTGGGTGCCCAAGAGGGGATCAAGTGTTCATAACTTGAATTCGAAAGTCAGGGTACAGTAGCCCTGAGGCTCCAAGTACCATCTCAGAAGCTAATTGGACCTCCAAACCCTCAAAACTTCTCAGAAGGTACTTGGAGTTCCAGGGGTAAGTGTCAGTCGTACCCTTTGACCCACATGTGAAGGAGGACTCTGCACTCCAAGAACTGGAGCGTGCAAGAACCACTCGGGCCTCCAGGCCTCCTGCTACGGTCACTCGGAGGCAGGGGAAGAACCATGGGTCACTGGACCAGGTACAATAATTTTGAGAGAAGAGGAAGCACCATTTTCCCCAGAGGTGGTGAACCCATGAACCCCCATAAAACGAAACATTCGAATTGGTACTAGTGCCGTCGATTCTGAAGGTATTCGAATAACCTTCCAGGTATTTGATGTTCCATGACAGTACAATCCAAACCTCTCCTCCAGTCTCACTGAGATGCTCCACCGAGGGGCTCTGCTGCCATGCCATCCCGATCATTCACCACCATGCTGATGAAGGCCTCGCGGTGGTGGTGACAGCTCCAAGGGGCGAGGACTTCATCTATGATGGACAGCTCCCGTCATTAAATTACGCTACATACTGGTTACTGACATGGAGAACGGACCTTCGAAAAAGACAGCTGTCTTCTATGAAAGGTCCATTTATCCATGTCACATGTCTATGTTATTGACCAATGGGATAAGAGCTCCATGTTGGAAGTGTTCAATGTCTGAAGTCGTTGAACACTTGGTACTTCTCAGTCCTGCGCAAAAGACATCCTTGTGTAGCATGCCGCAGGCTCCGCTGGCCATCGGCGCTCCTTTTTTTAAGATATAAAATGTACAGCATGCAGCATACATAAGCATCTGTGTCTGAAGGAAGGAACGAAAATCCAAAAATCCCATGGTCATCTGTCGTTCAGCATAAGCATCCTCTAAGCCCATGCAGAACGACCTGAACCCAATGCTGAAGCGAGTCCACCAGTGCGAGGGTTTACATGTGGGTACACGAAGAGATTCAAGTGAATGGTGAGGTCTGAGAGCATCAAATGTATCTGTCAAAATAAAAGTCCCAAGAAAATCCTGCAAGAAGTGGAAGTGGTTCCTGGTTTCATCTGCTTTCTTCACTGTTTGAACTAGTGACTTAAGGCCTCGAGGTTTCCTTTCAATGTTCCAGAAAGCCAAGGCTTCCATCCTTGGAGCTTCCATGTACCGGGCCTTCAAAGCAGCGGCTGTCTTGGGGTTGGTGGCAGTCTGGTCCTTCTTGACGTAGAGGTAGCTCACCTTGAGTGGACTCTGAAGAAGTCGAACTGGAAGGTCTCCATATTTCAAAATACACACCCAAAATGAACTCCCAGGGTTCTTGACCAACCACCCTTGACCTGCCAGTCCAGCGTGGTCCACACCCAAGTGACCCATGGAAGGCGTGGAATGGCGTGGATCATCTGACAGGGGAAGCTGAACAGAAGACCTGAACAGCTTGCCACCTCATCTGGATCTGATCCAAAGGTCCACCGTTGAGCAGAAGAAGAAGAAGAAGAAAAAGAATTCATCCACCTCTCTGACAAGGGAGTTGTGTTTACTAGTTTTGGAGCTCAAGGGTTGAACCATCTGGCTCTTCCACTTTTTTGATCATTCCCATGAGTAGTCGGAAGGATTAGAGAAGTGAAGGATATGCGAGGCTCATGCCCCATCACCTCATCAGATCATCTGTTGAAAGCGTTTGGTGGGCGTTTCCTGTCGCAATGCCATATGTGTGTGTGTGTGCTGAAACCCTCCCACATCTGTTCTAGGACTAGATAGCCGACTGACTTTCCCTAAAATCTCGATCACCAAACGGTCATGTCTGATACCAGGAAACACGCAAATGCCAGGACGGCACATTTAGACAAATCCCCAATGTCAACAAACTTGGCATGCCCTTGCCTTGGAGATCACCAGAAAAAAAATTGGGCCGCTGCCCAGAATCGCATGAGTCAGTCTAGATTGTGTATACTGTAATGTATAGATATGCTGAAACAATGTTCAATATGTTCAAAACCCGTCTTGATTCATCGTTGCCCAACCAGACACAAACCCTTCGAGTCGTGTTTCTACCGATTGGAATCTTCGTCCCTTGACACCTGGGTTACTAATACTCCAACACATTAATTGAAGTCCACGGACTGTCAATTTGGTCCTAAAAGCCCTTATCGAGCGCGCACGCGCGGGCTCGTGTTCATGTGTTCATGCAAGTTCAATCCGAACCTCTTTGAATTGAGGGGGCCAAACCACATCCTTGCCTTATCTTCCAGAACAAAAAAATTGAAACCAGAGAAACCCGGTCTTTCGCGCCCCCGCAAGGTCCTGCCACCGCGTCTGTTCGCGTCTTCAGATGGTCAAGGTCACCAAGACGATGGGCCAGGTGTTGGCGCCAGCCATGTCATAGAGGTTCACGCCTCAGACTGTCAGCGTGCAGGGCTTGGGGGTTGGGTGGGGCGTCCTGAGGGTCTGAGTGCTAAGTATCCAATCTTATGTGGATGCAAAGGGCCTCAATTCTTAACTCATTCGATTCAACTGGGAGTTCCTTTGCTATTGAGAGGGAATGTGGTAAGAGAGGAACTGGGGTCAATGACTCAGACTCGAACCGTTACCCTTTTAGGGTTCAGAATACGATTCATTTACATCAAGGCAAACTGCTTTACAGATTGATCCTTCTCTGTGGAGGACATGCCTAATATGTCCCAACATCCAAAAAATTGTTCATCCCCAGCCGCGTGTTCTACAGTGCATATTCCTCCAGCTTTCCAAACATCAGAAAATCTCCAAAACCCCAATCACATCTTTGAGTATTATAGATTATACATAAATATACATTATGGCTGGCTACTCTAAGAAAACCTCTTGAAACCTCATGCCCCCCATTCCTATCCAAAAACAGCACCTCATCCAACCAGAAACCGGTCTTCTTCAGCCTCTCTTCTGCCACGTGGCTAGACCAGTCGCCCGAAGGGTCCGTTGGAAACACGGTGCCCGCGTTGGCCGCGGCGGTGCCGGCGGCGGCCACGCCGCCAGCGGCGATGGACTCCTTGGAGGTCTGGCTGGTGCCGTCCTTGTTGGTGAGCGCCACCTGCCGTTCGGGACGGAGATGGCTTTTGTTTTAGCCCACCCATCCTTGATTAAGTAGGCAGTCTACGAAATTAAGTGAGGGCTAAACACCTGCTACGACAGCGAACGGACGCAGGATAATATGTTCATTTGGTTCCTGGCATTCATTTCATGGCACCAGACCCTGGCAGTTCGAAGGTTCTTGGTGCCAGTTCTTGGAAGAAAACGTGGATTGGTGGAAATCATATGGCTGTGGGTCATCGAGCCACGACCCAGCTGGAAGGACCAAGGTAAACCAGGGCTCCACGTGGGTCACGACCCATCCGCATGGGGTTCACCAGCTGGGAAGGTCTCCGACCCAACGATTTCGGCGCTGGCTCGGTCGGCCTCAGAGAGACCAAAGTCATGGCCATGGCCAGCATCGAGGTAGCCGATGCCGTAGCTGTTGTCCTTGCAGGTATTCGGCTGTTCAATGAAAACAAAGGACGCCCTCTTTCCAGGGTCTGGGACACCATCTTGCAGTTACCTTCTTGTGCTGGGCACTGGCAGATGATATTCCTGTCCAAACTTGGTGAGCTGCCATTTTTCGGATAGACCAACAGAGATGGGCCACCTGAAAATTGTCCCGTTCTCAAAATCGACGGTGGGCCATGTCCTGGTTGTGTCAAGGCGTCTGATCTTCATCATACAATCACCAGGTGCCGGCATGCCAGGCAACCCCTCGATATGTCTCCAAGAAAATGCCTTTGCTATACATGTGCTATGAATTTCCTGCCTGAAATCCCAGCATCATCCTTCACTGTGGCGTCTCCCGTCTCCCGATGTTTGGGTCACCTGAAACTCTCGTCTCGCCATCGATGCCGTCCTTGATCCCGTTCAGCATGCCCGGGGATCCCTCCACGGCGTAGAAGTTGTCCTGCATCAAAAACTCTTACACTCCAACTCAACAATAAAAGTGGATGGCATTGTCCTTTGGCTTCGACCATTTTCCGAATACTCAACAGCTGGAAGACTTGGTCCACCGGCGGGTAAGCGTGAATTTTAATTGTCGGCGATCGGTGCGCACCGCTTTCGTTAGAACTTCCAGGACTGGTAGCACGTAGCAGGTGTAGGATTCCCCAAATCTGTAGGCCAAATCTGCTTGCCTTTACCAGATCTGATGGACTTCGATGTGTGAAACTGTTGGCACCCGCGCTTGACCGTCCAGCGCAGGCCAGGTGATGCTGGAGCCTGCTCCAAGGCCCCATTGGGCGTCGCACCTGGCCCCGTTGGACCCAGCTTCGGTGTTTTACTCTCACTGGCTTGGTCGACAGGAACACTAAATCCGCCGACCCCTGCTTAGCCCTTGCCTAAGCGGGGCGGCGCCAGGGACACCGGAGGGTGGAACGGGTGGCCAGTGCAAACGCAAGCC